AAATTAAACACTATCTAAAGATTTGCATCGAAGCGTTTATTTTTGATAGTGATTTTAATCACTGTCAGATATCATTATACTTGATCCAACTATACCACGTCACAACTGTGCCGCGATCCCCCTGTGCTGGGNAGTATCAAATATGAGATGAAGACTGAAAACCATTTTATTTATTAATTATTTTTTATTTGTGGTTAAAGTCTTTAACAAATTTTAAAAAGCATTATATAATTATACCATTAAATTTATTAGAGAGGATGAGTCAAGTCATACTGTTGTATGTATAATCTACCTGCATTTCTTACCCTTTCTATGCATTAAAATGCTTATAGCTCAATAAGAATTTGTCTTAAAATTCTAATTGGTCCATCAAAATTTATTGTACTAAAAGGACTAAAAATGGCTATTTTGAAATAAAAAAATTTTAATTTTATATTTAAACTTGGACATTGTGTAAGGGAAAAATTATTTTTTAAAAATTCAACAAAATGTTAATTGTTTTAAAAGTTTTAAGTGTTGTCAGTTAAATTTGAGACACTATTAAAAAACAAATAGATTTATTAAGGAAAAAATAATAATAAGTTATATTTTATGCATAAGACAATAATACTCAAAATTTATACATTAAAAATTACTTTATATAAATTTCAATATATATAAGATATTTAATCAAACTATAATAATTTAGTACCTAATTAAATTATTGTTTTTATTAGACAGTTTTTGCCCTAACGATTACTTATCTTACATTGATAAACATTTATCATTAATCTTTTAGACTTAGATTGTTATCAATAATATTGAAACTAACAATCTTAAAGTGAGAAATTAGAGTTAAAAATAAATAAATATATACATTTTTTATAGCTTTCAAAGTATAAATAAATATTAATGGCATTATTAAAAAGAGTTTAACTTTTATCAATGTTTTTAAAAAAACTGTCTTATTAATCATTTGTTTAATTTATTGATCTACACTAGTTGAAATCATTCCTTTAATTTTGATCTTCACAGTAATAAATGCCATTATCTGTTATATTAACTTAAAATAAATTTAAGTAAAATATAGTTTTCATATTGTTTTTAACGCTTTCTAAGCCCATATAGGGTCATAACGGTCTACTCCAAAGGAGGAGGTTCTTAACCATTGACACTTCGAGATAAGTGGTTAATCCGTCGCCGGAGAGAGGGATGGCGACTCCACTTACTGAATTGATCTATCGTTTGACAAATGAAGCTGCCCATGACCGAGTTTCAAACCCAAAGCAGAGCTCGTCAAGCACTGTCACGTTACCGAATTGGCCATACCGTCCCTCTTAGTAATAGTTTTCATATTAATAATAATATTTCAATCAAATCTATTACTTTTCAAATGGTAGGCTAAATTACAAAAATTATTTTACAATATAAACCTTTTTTAAAATTTCATCAATATTATAAATAATAATTAAATTAGTATTATCAGATTTCACAATAGATTACATTTTTTTTAAATTAATGTTTAAATAACTATAAGATCAACTAATTAGGCGATAATTAAAAATTTTAAAGAAACAAAAGATACATTTATTTAACTTTAATGTTATAGCTAGGGTGCCGATTTATATAAATTTATACATTTTGTTTAGTTATTCCAAATACACCATCAGCCACTATACATTTTTATTAATTTAATTAAGAACTTAGTATTATGTTGTTATTAAAGTTATAGTGTGGGGGTTACAGAGATTACTCTTAAATCAAAAAATATTCCTACATTACAATATAATGTAATGACAAAGTTACACAAACTTGGGACACATCAAAGTGGCATAAACAAACTTTATTAATACTTACAATTCTACTCCTAGTTATAACTATAATATAACATTCGAATAACTCAGTAAAACATAATTTAAGACTACTAAAAATTTTTTAACCAACCTTTTTGGTTCCTTTGTAATAAAACACAAATAACTCTCTTCCAATATTAAAACATATCCTGTCATCATTCCCATTGGAGTCTATGTAATTAATAAATGATACATGGACAGAAGTGTTGGTTTGAGCATTGTAACCAATGCGATTAGGGCGAGAGTATGTAGCCAAAGTTAATAACTTATACACTCCTTCTCTAGTAACAAACTGTGTCTTAAGTTGTTCTTTGCAACCGCTGTCCAAATTAATGGACATCATGCAGGAGTTATAACCATCACTTATATTGTTCATACTAGCTTAAAGTATTTCGTCATATTCCAAATGATAATCTTTTACATACTGTTGATTCAGAAAGATATATCCCAATAAACAGAAATTATTTGTCTTCATCTTGTAACTTTAAATACAATTACAACGGTTGTTTACTAAAATAAAGGCTGCAAACTACATGATTTTATAAGAATGTATCTACTAACACGCACTATTAAAAATAGAGTTTTAAACCAAAACCAAACTGACAAATTATCAAATTTAGGATATAAATCAATTATTTCACGATTTAGTTACAAATCATTACTGAAGGATTACTAAATAATTTGATTACGATAGTAGAATGGTTTGAGACAGATAAGCTGACGGCGATTGTATCAAGAGTGAAGTTAAATCCGGTAAAATTAGTATGCAGCGTAGCGCTGCAGTACAAAACGTTGTCAAGTATAAGTACGTTGATAACATGCACCGGATATGTACGAAGTCTATGATTCGTAATTATAAACCATATTTTTGGAGACTAAATTTAAACAATGACAACCATTTTTCAAAAATGTTATTTTCGAGTTAAAAAAATTATTAAAATTTTAAGAAGACAACTAATTTATTTGATTAACTAATTCTTTAACATTTCATTTGGTTGATTACATTATGAAAGATAAGTCCTTTTTGTCAATTAAATGGGGGACAAACCAACTTTATTATTTAGGCCTTTAAAAATAGTTTTGATCTATGTGTATGAAATTAACGTGGATCATTAAATGGAATCTAATTGTTGAATGATAATTATTTTAGTTTCCCTTTATAATTTTTAAATTATTTATAACATGGGCATATTTTTAATTTTTATAAGGCTAAACTTAGATCATGATCAAACCCTCTTTTACATGTTATGAAGTCAAAGATGGTTCTTGGCTAGGCTAATTATGGACAGAGCGTGTATTATGCCTAGCTTGCACCAGAGAACAGACATTATCAATGAGAAAATCGCAAGAGAAATATTGTTGGCACCCTGAGAATCGAACTCGCTGCCACTTGCGCTAAAACATATATTTCTATCCAATAAGCCAGGCCGACCCATTATAACACTTCGTGATTTAAAATTCAAAAATATACTTCTGTATGATAGAAATTTCAATTTGAATAAAATGTTTAATAGTATATATTATCATAAAAATTATTACAATACTTAATGGTATTGAAAATACATAAATATGTAACTAGTTTATATATAATTAACAAAGAAAATAATTGGTAGAGAACAACTTTTTGACTAGTATTTTAGAAGTTATTACTATCTAAAATAATGGCTAGAGGTGAAGTTGGGGTGATGCTATTTTTATCACTAGACATTTCAAAACCACACTTCTTCTCCATGCTAAGTATAAACATGTTTATTACTTTTGAAATACTGGTTCAAAAGTTGTTATTGACTCATCATTTTCATAATAGGATCATTTTTAATTGATAGGCTTGACAAGCTATAGTAAGTTAAATATATTTAAATAACTTAAAACTAATGATTAACAAGCAACATAAATAAATACATTTCCATTTAGAAAATAAATTTTAAACTCTCATAAGGTATACGTGTTGAACATAACATGATTGATAATTGAGAAAAATAAGTAATTAAAAGAAAGAAAATTATTAGTGTCATTTTTATTTTTTAATTAATTAAGGGGTTGATGATAAAAAATTACCTTGTAAACAAATACATAATTTTATAATTTGTCACCTGGGATGGCTACATCTCCTTTAGCCTCTCTAGTTTAGTCTATGATTATTTGTTAATATCCTTAACAAAAAATGAGTTTACTTACAGTAGTAATTTAATTATTCTTTCTTGGATAACTTATAAAAGAAAAAAAGAAAATTATTTAAGTCAACATTTTTTTATTTTTAACAAAAAAAATTAAAACTATGTTTTTATAAACAATTTAAAATATAAAAAACTGAAAAAATGTTTAAAGTATATACATAATAATGTGTAGCTAATGAATAGAGTTTATTATGAACATATTCAATATTTGAATGGAGGTAAATTTAAACTCCTTGCTATGGCTAAATAAAACATACCTGTAAATTTCACAACATCATAATTAATGAACTAAGAGTTTTATATTGTAACTAAGATATATTTATTTCAATACAATTTTAATATAATTAATCTGAATGGATTTCATTAAATTTTATTCACATACTTGGTGTACCAATGTAATAAACTGGCTTTATATGTTTGCAGCCTTTAAAAAAATAAATGGCTACCATCAGAAATGTTATGCCACCGGTAATTCTGCAGGATATGCAATTTTTTTCTTTGGATTCCATTTTTATGACGTTATTTAAAAAAAAATAATATAAATACAGTGGCTATAATACTCATTTATGATTTATAGCTAAAAAATTAGTCAGAGATCATACTTCAAAGAAAAATTCTTAAAACTATTACCATAGATGTTTCAATTTAGGTTCAAAATATTTAACTAATTCAAGAACACTATTATCAATGTAAGACTAGATAAACTAAATATTTAATTTACTACAAAAATTAATATATTTAATATTCTATTATATAAAAAAATTATACTAACATTAACTTTAAATTATTCAAAAACTATAGTAAAACAAATTTTCATAGTTTTAAATAATAAATACAATTGAAAAACTGATTTCTTAGATGTTATATTTTATTATTAAAATTATTAAATTACACAGATGATAATTTCAAGAATAATTAAAAATTTATTAGTGATCAAAAAAATAATTTTTTAAGTCAAATACGGAGAATTTTCTATCGAAATACTACACAAACAAATATTATATTATAAAATATCATATATAATAATAATATGATCAATAGATAATATTTTATTATTTTTTTACCGTTAACAGCTTTATCAATAATTCATGGCAAAAAAAAAAGAAAGAAATTAATGATATATCATGAAAAATTTTATCAGCAACATATAATTTTGTTTTTTAATATTACTATTTTTGTATAATAAAAAATAAAAACGCCCATTTACTGTTTTGTTGCATAGGCTACTATTGCGTTTAATCTTTCAATTACACATTCATATTATTATATTAGAGTAAGAAATTCTAACTATGTTAAATGTAAAATTTTTTTTGTAAAAATTCAAATTATAAAATCTAAATTTTGGATTTTATAATACCTATCTCTGAACTATGATATGTCCAGCTAAAAAATATACATTTCTTAGGATTATACACTAATTCACTATACATTACTTAATAAACTGTGACGCGATTATATTTTTTCGTTTAATTCAGTTATTCTATTCAGGTCCTAGTATACTTCGTTGATTATAAAATAAAATGGGAATTGAGAAAACGAGGGATAATTTTTTATTGTAATCTCAGAACTGAAATTAAAAATACAATGATTGGTTAATTAACTACTTAGATATTCCCATGATCTTAAAATAGCTGTAGGAGTAGTTGAATATTCAATAAAAATTTTGTAAATATAATAGAGTAACAAAATACGTTATTAGGATAATTTAATTAGGAGGGTGCTAATACCAAAACAAAAACAAATTTTAGCAACCTTTGATTTTTCATTTAAAACGTAAGTTTAGTACGGCCAATGAGGACTTAGCCTATTTAGCTTTCTGGATACGCCTGTGTTAGGAATAATAGGTTTTTCTTTGAGGTAATTTTGAAAAACTTTGTCTAGGCATGTTTTTAAGCATGGAAGGTATGCGTTTTGATACGTAAAATACTATTTTTGGCGTCTAAGGCCTATGGTTATCCCCGCTATTTACAAGCAAACAATAGTTTCTATCTTATTTTTGCGATATAAAAAAAAATGTAAGATATCCCAGGCTTTGTAAATCCTTTGATGATATCTAAATTACATCACAAGGTCTTTCTTTAATTACTCATTTTCTGTTTTTGTAAGTTCATGTATAATTAAATTATTTTTTCTAAAAAAAAAAATTATTAATGTAAAATTGTAAATTTGATAGTAATGTTCATTGTGCATTAATACAACAGCGTTTGTTGCTTGCAACAAAATGGAGCAGAGGTTTATCGTTAGAGACTATGTACGCAGAGTGAACAAGGAGTCTCTACTAGTTATTTGTAGTGCAGTATTAGCTGCCTTAGCTCACATAAATAGCTAGAAAGAATATTGATATTTTTATCCGGTAACAATCTATCATAATTGTTTTCTATCTTTTAAAGCCCTAATATGATAGACGCCAGTTACTCAGGTATGCGCACACACAGAGTCATCTGATATATTAACATTCATAACCCACTTTGTAATTGACAGCCGCCACGCGATCTCCAATATCTACAAGCCGCCGATGAGCAACGTTGGTGAAAGTAAACTTTTTATACATTTCTTCGTTGATATTATAATCGTGTCAAGGATCCACACACGTTTGTGGTGATCACGGTCAACCATTTCTTCATACACTCGCATGCGGATGGCGATGGATAGTAGGTATGCTTTTTCTTTTAGTAAAAATTTCTTTATTCTATTTTACATATTTGCTCTACGTCGATAGTCCAATTTTGATCATTTTTCATAGTTACCATGATGCACTTAAATTGTTTTAATTGATGAGTAAAACAATTAATACTTCTTAATAATTATAAAGTGTTTTTAATTTAAAGAAATTAAAAAAAAATACTATTAATTTTTCAAAATGAACCACGTAAAATATATGAATAAAGTCTTGTGTTTCTTAATGACATTAAATGCGGTTAATCTTTCTATATCTGTAACCATTGAGCATATAGAAAATTCACATGTGTCAACAAGTAATGATACATTAAAAATAAAATTACCAGGAGAAGAAATTGATAGCTCAAAAAATGTAGAAGATCAAGAGAGACATGATTTGTCAACAGTTACTGCTCAAGCGGATAATACAAAAACATCGCTTGTGCCAGTTCAAATAAAAAATTCAATTTTGCCAAGACAACCGACTATAGAAGGTATATAAAATATAATTTAATAGGTATTGATGTTTATCTTGATAAATATTTAGGCATAATTGCAAATTGAAAATCAATAATAATTTTAATTATCTGTTTAAATAGCTACCGAATTAAATATTAGACAACATCAACACAATAAGCAAAAGAAAAAAAAACCACAAAAAATGACTAAAGGAAAACATAAAAAGAAGCAAACATATAAAGATAAGCTTCTGCCGTTGTTGTTGATACCAGTCGTCATACAAATCATGACTTTGCCCATGATGATAATGAACTTGAAAATGATGGCAATGAAAGCAATGCTGGTTGGTAAATTGGCTATGATTTTAGTCGTAGTCAATTTTTTGCGTAATTTGTCATTACGTGCTGTTGGTGGTGACGTTTTAAGAGGAAAAAACCCTCAGGTAAGTTTCTAATCACCTAGCTATGATTGATATTGTTGTGATTGGGTTTAGAATAAATTATATAAAATTGAACATTTTTGTGGATTTTATAGGAAGTAATAATTAATATACAAAATATTACATTATAAAAACGCGTTTTATTATAAAAGGCGTACCTATTATGGTTTATAAAAGATAAACTACATATTTATTAAATCTATCACTTAAAAATTAATAATAATTTTTAATAATTTTCTTCTGCTATAAGTTTGAACTAATAATTACGTTTATTTGATGTACTTTCAGCTATCATGAAACTAGAGCGGGTCATTTTTTTCTACCCTTAAAACATGTAAGTTATAACTTCGTAGATCTAGAATACACAAATATTCAGGATTTAAAATAAATAATTTTTCGTAAATGATTACTTTTTTTGTGAAATCTTATAGTATATAATGTTCAGTACTAAATTATGGATTCTAAAGACAACAATATAAGAGTATTGACCTGGTAGTGACCTACAATATTTTATTCTTCCTATCAAATATTTTTTTCATATTTAACTATTAAAATTGTATAGAAAAAATATTTTCTCTAATCTATGCTGTAGAAAAGAATGTGATTCGATCCCTCCTTAATACTGGTCCTGATAATTCTTTGAATTTTTTTAACATGAAAAATTTTACATATAAAAATATATAGTCATTCTGCCTCCAATATAATTTTTTCATGAAATTCATATTTTTATTGATTATTAACTGGGCTCGTAAGTTTATACATTAATACATTTAGTTAGAGTAAGCAAATTCTGAAAGCAATTATATTCATATGAGTATTTTTTTAGTTGGGAATTTAATGCTAAACAAAATAAATATATTGCTTAGTTTTGAATCCAACTTGTACATCAATAGGGAATTCAGGTAGTTTAAGATATAAACTTAATTTTTATTTCGCGTTATTTTGCCTTGCTATAAATTTTTTATTCGCATTGAAATTTCTTAAAGACGGCTCTATCAAAAGTGATATTTACATGAACTTATAAGACTTGATTATTAAGATGCTTTCAAATAATTAATTTTACTTGCTAAACTGAATCAGAACTATTTTATTAATAATTTCGTTTATATTATAGAGATTGTCCTACCATAATTTATTTATTTACCAATATAAACTAATATTAAAATTAGTAGATCACGATGGGACACCTGTATATCATGTTAGTAAAATATATAAAACCTGTGATTAAAACATTCCAAAATTTAATATAAACAATCTACCATTTATTACTCTCGTTTTAGCATTATCAATTATAGAAAGTAAATTGTAGTAAAATTTTAAAAACTAAATAAAGAATTGTTTGATTTGCTATATTATCATATTTATTATTTTATAGATAATTGTATAGAATAATAAAATGGTTCTATATGTAATTACTAATAATTAAAATGACTTCAACACTATTAATAGAATTAAATAAATCACAGGTTATTATTCATACATAATACTTTAATATACTTTCAAATATCCGTTTTTTGTTTATTTGATAGTATTTTACAAAAGAATTATAAATCGTTTTTCTAAAAATCTTTCCATGATTATACAGATAATAAATTACAAAAATTGTTTAAATATAAATGTATTTTAAGGATTCTTCGTTGATGTCACAATATTATGGATTCAATGGTGGACTTGAATTTGGTGCTATGATAAACAACTGGTACAAGAGAAGGTGAATTTTGGATGATAATAAGTCAAAAACTTTACAATAATTCAACAGCTCTCTTGTAGGATAAACAATTCAAAATTTATACTACTATAATGTACTTATATTTTTAGTAAAAATGTGTAATTGTATTTATTAAACTATTGTATAGTCTTTTAGTAAGAGTATTTTTTTTTAATTACACTTAAAAAACTACATATAAAAAATCACAATGATCTCTCCTAAATTAATACTGTCAAATCGTAAGATAGAGTCGACCCCAAATAGTTGGGACAATGACTAAAGAGATGATGATGACGAATAATTTTTTTTCGATTATGAAGTAATTAATAAGTGTAAATTATAATTTGCTATTAGATCATTAACTTAAAGTATTTCGACGTAACTGAAATTTTATTTTTCATTTGTAAAATTTTTATAAAAAATTTTATAAAAAGTCTGTCAAAATAGCTGGGCAAGTCAATGATATTTTTGAACTCGTAAAAATTAAGTTGAAGATTTAAGAGGTTAGGAGTAGTCAGAGGTGTGGAAAAATCAGTATTTTAAAAAAATGTTGATAATTCAGAGTCTTTTATGAGAAACAAATCTCTTCAATTAAAAAATTGTACAATTTTTGGTAAATATGAATAAATTTTTTTTATTGTTATGGATAATGTATTGAAGCTTTTTCGACAGCGATTTTAATCACTCTTAAATACTAATCTAACGTAAATGCTTCAACTATAGTACCATAAACAGACTATACGGAAATTTTTTTTGTGTTTAATTTTTTAAAAATTGATGTCCTAATTCAGTGTATCATGTGAACTGGTAACTCAGCAGATTGTCGGCGTTTAGCATTTCTACACTTATAAATTATATAATTTTTTATTTATTTTTAATAGAAAACAGAAGAATTATAGAAGGCAAATCAATGAAACTTATTGAAACTTAAATCAAATTGCATATACTTTAATTCAATATATTTTAAAAGAAAATTTTTTTTTTAAATTATCGATAGCAATATTTAAAATTCAATTACGTTATCAATCAGATTTTCAAAATTATTTTTAAAGAAAGGTTATTGTCTAGAGTATTACCTATAAAGATTTCATGTCGATCTGTACATTTTAAATTCATATAGCTGAATGGTCGAATCTGATGTTTTAAAATATTATGACCGATTGGGTTTTTCTACAATTACCAATTTTTGGGATATATAACCAGAATTTTATTTGAAGGGGTGTCTAAAAAAATATACATTTTTAGTTATTTAAATGTACATCAAAAAAATTTATTTTGAAAACAATTAAAAAAATACGTACTATATGTACTATATGAATAATTCATGTAATCATTATAATCATTATTATAATTTATTATCGATAAAATAAATATAATTTATTATCATAAATCGATCATCAAATTACAATGAATTTCACTTTTTATTTGTAATTTGAAAAATTCTTATGCCTAAACAATTTATATCTAAAATAATAAATATATGATGTAGGATTAATCATAATAAAAAATTAATAATTCATACAACCATTCCTTCGAGCTATTTCTTATAATTTTAAACTATATTTAAAATATAGTAATTAAAATTTAATTGACAAAAAGAAATCGTATTTAATTTTCATAATTTGTTAAAATATTTAAATGAACCACATGTAAATACATATAAGACTGAGAATGTAAGTTTATTTTAAAACAATATATCCACCCTCTTGCATACCAGCTGATCATTTATCATGCTCATCAATTTAAGATAACCAAGAAGAAATTTCTTACAAATTTCTTTAAAATACGTCTTTGACAGAATCAACATTAAATACAAAATTAGAGGGTAAGTTTTATAAAATTACATTAATATAAAATGAAATAAAAATAAATAATGTAACTAGATAAATATGTTACTAAAAATAATGCTTAGTTAAAACACCCTTTACATGATTATAAAAGGTAAATTTACAGAGTGTTCAGTAAGTAAGGAAACAGATCAATTATTATAAACAATGAGAACCGTAGAAGCACTTTTCCTTATTTACTGAACACCCTGTATATGTGAATAATAATAGGTAAATTGTAAAATTCTAGACAATTTTTTTGACCTGTTGTAATCAACCTTTTTTTTTACTTCCATTCGGGGTGAAATTAAGTAAATATTTAGTTCATTTTAAGTAGTTGTTCTCATTGTTTGTAACAATTGACCAGTTTTATTACCTACTGAACATTCTGTATTATTAAGTACAAATACGAATTTAAATAAAAAGAAAAAAAATATTTACAAAAAAAAATCAGGAACACTCCTAGAGGACATATTTATTACTACAAGGAATTATAGTAATATAAATTATCTATTGAACTAATCATTGTCATATTATCAATTTTTTTCTATTAAGGTAAAAGCTATTTTTTGATTAATAAACAATTTTACTTCAATTAAATTATAAAAATAAAAGTAGGACGATAAAATTCCAAAAATTTATAATTGAATAATATAATAGATAATTTAATTGTGATATTATTTAAATAAGACACATATAAAAATTCTGTTTAAAAAATATAGTCTACAATTAAAGTAAAAACCAAACTTTTACAATAATTTTGTTATTGTTTCAATATTTTCATACATCTCAATAATTTTAAGATATTTGCGAAATATTCAAGACTGATATATGTTTAAAAACACTTATATGTATTTTGACAATTTTTTATAGGAACACCTTATATTTTTTAAGTGTCTAAGGTAAACAAATATAGTGTAAAATTACTAGGTCATTTTAGACAGTACATAATAGTGTGCGGTATCTACAGTTAATCTAACCTATCCATCTGTTGTAGTAACTAGAAGTAGTTGGTTGTTCTATATTGAATCTGTTGTTATTACTATTGTAATTAGGTCCGATTGAGTTTCCATAGTAGAAATCCAATTGCTCGTTAGAACCGCTTCCAACGCTCCTATTCCAAGAATACGGTAATGCTCCGTTGGATCCCGTAGAAGGTATACCACCGCCTCCAGTAATTTCGGCTGAGTCTCTGATTATCTCCCCAGAACCTTTGATTGGAGAAAAAGCGTTTGCTGTCGGAAAAGACGGTACAGCGGCATGGACGTGAACGTGGATATTTTTGTCTTGTTTGTATTGACTCAATTGTTGATCACTGCGATCAAAAGGGTCAACGTCCGCAGACCAGTGATGGAACGAAGCAGGCGGACTTAAATGATGGTACTTAGATTTGGATACTGCGCTAATAATAGCAAACATTAGCAGTATCAGCCCAATAGTTACACCTTTCACACTGAGAACTGTTAATACGGTTAATAGAGTTGTGATAACTCCTAATTTGTATACTATTGGTAACATCATAGCAAACTGCATTCGACGACGGGCCACACCAAGGCCAAATGTTCTAGTATCGGAATTGTCTGCGGAAAAGAAAAAGACAACTTATAAACATTTTTTTTTTATGTAAAAGATAATGCATAATTATATTTAAAAAATAATTTTCTAAATCGTCGTATTGTATACATTACAACTATAAAAGAATATATATTGCAAACGATAGAAAAGCTGAGAGCAACAATAATGCAAGTAAAATTTTTTTTTAGCTTTAATTAGGTAGTTCCTAATAAATAAAATACATTTTTTGTAATTAAATGCTATATGGCTAAAGATTTAAAGAAAATATTAACATATGACATTAAAAAGAACTTTGTAAAGTCGGGGGCCCAGCAAATGGAGATCAGGTGTAGTAGTTCCTGGTATAGATGAATATCTGACAGTGATTAACATTACTATCGAAAAATACTCCAATGTGATAGTGCATAAAAAAAGATATAAAAAAAGAAAAACAATCGGTAAATATTTAAAAATAATATTACAAATTTTTTATTTTAAGGGTTTATTACTTATCGATAATAAGTTGTCACAATAGAATATACTTTTCAATATTGTAATATATATAAAAAGATTTAATTTGATATATATTTAAAAAATGTAGATGTTACGGAATATTTTCAAAAATCGATATGAAAAAAATGTTTGGAATATATTGGTGGTGTTGTTCAAATCATTTTTGTACCTCGGTTTACAATTAGATTTTTATAAAAAGTATATTAAAAGATAGCTGTATTACTTTAGTAAAACTAATAAAAATACTGTTTATGTTCGAGTTAAAAAAAAACTAATTACGAGTGTAAAACGTAGAAAAAATATCAAGTTTAAAATATTAATAAGCCAATTATGAGATATCTTTCTAAATTTCTAAAATGAGAGGATATTTCAATATTTGAAGACGATAAGTTCAACTATATAAAATTGTCTGTTAATAAAATTGTCATTTGAATTCTTTTTCGTGTACAGAGTAATCCATTTATCATAACCCACTTAATTACTTACAAAATAAAAATATTTTTTGGATTTATTATAGTTACGTATATTCCTGGATTTATCAATTATTAAGTACTTTTCGGTCCATAACTTATATCTTATGGAGGTATCAGATTTTTAAATGGAAACATGCGTATTTAAATAGATTATTTAATAGGAAATGATCTATAGGAATAAATTCAGAAAATTATTGGTTAATAACAACTTTTGTTTGGACCAGTACTACGGTATTTATTAGCATTTAATAATATAGACTGCTGGCGAAACAAGGAAGGTGCAATCTTTAACAATAGTTATTTCTCGGTCATACTTCTTGTTCCGCCTAGATCTAATAATATGAATAACTTCCAAATAGTAATTCAAAATTTTCTATCGATCCGTTATTTTTTAATAGGATTATTTTGGATTTTATAAGCTAGTTAAATATATTTAACTAGCTTATAACTAGTTACTAACTAGCAACATCCATATATGCATGTTATTGTTTAAAAATAAAGCTAAAACCTCTATGAGATATGAGAGATGAACCGGAAAAATAATTAGTAATTGATAAATTAAAAAGTATATGTTACTAAAAAAAACTAAACAAATATTTCCGAAATTACTTTTATTTTATAAGTAATTGAGTTAGTGTACAATAAACGAATCACCTTGAATATGTCAGCAAAATCAGTCCATTGAGAGCTTTGTATTTTCTGGATAGATAGAGACAAACATTAGGTTAATACAATAATTTCACAACTTCGCTAAAAACTTTTATTATTGCTTTTTATAATGAATATTTCAATAAATTAATACATCTGAACGTTATAAAAAGAAAACTTAATCTGGTTATATTTTTAGTTATTTAAAAATACTTCAATAAATTCAAATATAATTAAATTTATATTATTAATACATAACTCTAGTTTTATTTTTATGTTGTTATTAATTTACTATATAAATTAAACTAAAAAATAACCACATGTAATTATTTTTCTAAGTGAATGCACATAAATAAATACTTTTTCACACCGTTTATACTTTGCATTGGTTGAAATTCTCACCTACTATATAATAAACACGAATTCTAAACCAAAAAAAATTAGATCATTTAGCATGGCTTTGATTTTAGATATTTAATTAATAAACAGTTATAAAATATAAATTGAGATTAATCTGAATGTATGAAAATGGCAATGCAAAATATAAAATTACTATTTATCATAGTCTAACAATAAACATACGGATTATATAGTAGATTTCGCATAATTATTAAGTAAATCCTATCCTAAAAACTAAAATGAAACAGATATAATTCATAAAGTATATTTTAAAGTATACAACATATTATTATAAATTATACCAGTCATATTTTCAATAAAATTATTAGATTACTGAAATAAACGGGTGTAATATAATTATTAGACCCTTTTTAGAACATATTATGTTATTTTATTATTAACATTCAACATTTACTTTTGTTTACTAACTAGTTAAACATATATTTATTATATTTTGTAATTATTATAACATTATTATCTTTAATTAGTAGGTTATAATGATTAATAATAACGTTAACTGCTAATATTTTTTTAATATATTATATTGTATTTAAATCATAAATTATCTTCTGATTAAAATTATATTGATTATTTAGCGACGTGTGTAACTATTAATGAATAATCAATCTAACAACATTATTTAAATAATTAAATGAAAAGTTAATAATAACAGTAAACTAGAAAATTTCGAAATGAGACTGATTTTTTTTTAGATAGTATATGTAGTTAAAATAAGGCACTAACTCAGATGTCCCAGATTCCCATTTGCACATAATATTATGTGCTACTGTACTAAGTTCTAGTACATCGTGCACGTATTAATCATAAACATTACAATGCTTTATAATAATTATTTTTTCATTTTATTAGCTCATCAAGTGACCAGTAAACAACTAGTAAGAATGAAATTTTACGTCGTCCTTTTTTAGAATCCGGATCTATTCTACGCGGTTTCCTAACTTTCAAAATTTTAAATTAACGGAGTTGTTTGCAAAAACTTGGTAAAACATAAATTAAACACACAATTGGTTTATTTTTTTATCATTTTACGTTCTGTTTTGAAGAATAATTCCGAGACACAACTTAACTATTTTATAATTCTCATAACTTATTAACTAATATTATTAAGATGTACTAACTTTTAATTCGGTATAATTTAAATTTAGACAATAGATATCATGAATAATCTTCAAAATTGCATAAATTTTAAATACTAGTTTTTTGGCTAAAATACAAAAATTTGCAAAAATTAACCATTCAATACAAACATTTCTTTAAAGGATGCTCCGGTAGCTCCATAATTTTTTTCCTGTTGAATACTGTTAATTTTTTCACAATTGTGTCAGATCTAAGACAATTAGACTCCATAGCAAAAAATGTATGACACAATTTCATAAAATAATAAAAAAATTTTTTTTAACAGTTGCACTATGTTTTACGAGATTTCAAGTAAAACTGATATATTTTTCTTATTTAATAGTGAATATTTTATTCCGCGGAGATAAATGACAAGTAAACTTTAAATTGTGATTATTGAAAGCTATATGAGTCATGATATATTATAAAAAATAGATGAAAAAGATTTAATTATTAGATTAAAAATTAAAGCAACATTTCAACATGTTTTTTGAAATCATACAGATATTAATTTCTGGTATTTATTGTTTAATTATATATTTTTATATTTTACTGTCCATGATATGTGTATATATTTTTGAATATTATTATGCTAAATTTTGAAATTATTAAAAATACTAAATTCCAATGAGATTCGTCATTCTTAGTCTATCGTAAATAACGCATAGAAATAACGGATACAATCAACGGATCGCTTTAAAAAACGGTTAAATAATATTAGATAAGGTAATGAATTAATAGCCACAATAGAACTCGAACTAATCATATTAAAATATATTTATGCCAATTACATATAATTTTCATATAACATTGTAAGTTATATCAGTTATAACGCGTTAGAGCTGACCGGTTCTGGAAGATTTAGGACGATTTAAGAATAAGTATAATAGCATATAAATTGTGCATAATTGATTAAAGGTGAAAATAAAATGAATTAAGATAGCAACTACTTATAGAACTGAAAATAATAATCTTTCTATTAACAAATAAAAGTTTTTGAATATGAATTAAAATTTTGTTTTGAAAAATATTTTTGGGATATTTATGCAGTATGTATAACATGCCCTAGTTTTGAAAATTATGTACTGTGAATAAGAAAATAAAATAAGTATTCGATAGAGACGCCCACTCTTGGTCACGATTGTCAAAGAAAAATATAAATATATTTTAACATAGCTACATCATATGAATTTCTTTATGAAATCAATAATTTTAAACACTAAAAATAGACTACAATAGTTTATCTTTCATCTTGACACTATCATAATTAGAGAGCTTTTTTAACTGTTGATGGATGACAAAAATAATACATTGCAGGATAAGTAATTGGTATTTTAATATTGTGTCAATATCCTACATTGTTCTATATTTGGTTAAGTGGGAGACTGTGAGATTTTGTGTGCAGTGCGGAGTTCTAATAGAAATAGTAAAGAATATTATAAAAGTAATAACATTTTAATAATCATCGTTGGATACAACAATAGAAGCTCAATGGAGGCTTCTATGTGAAAAGAGAACACCATTGTTTTTGTGATGTATATTAAAAATATCATAGTTTAAACGGAAACGATGAGTGGTTAATTATTGATGGAATTAAATTTCAAGAATTCTCAAAGTATATTAAACAAAATATGAATGAAATACAATAAATTACCTATACTTAAATAAATATCATTATTTACGGTAGACTTTCTAAAAAGCAATGTATCGATTGTATTATTTTTTTGGATTTATAAAAATGTACTATAAAAGTTTATTAATTTTAACACAAACAGAAAATTTACAACTTTTTACATTTAAACATTTTTTTTTACATTAAATATTTATATTTTATATATTTTTCAGATATACGTATTGAAATAATTTATTATTGATCAATTAATTAGCTTATTAATACATTCTGTCCAAATAGTATCTTAAAAATAAAGATAAACTTTGTTTGAAAAACTTCTCAGAATAAGAAATAATAATTTTTACAAACTTAACTGTTAATAAAAATAAAGTATATCAATGTTAGTTAATGATTTAGTAGTAAAACTCAGTACCTGGAGATAAACTAGGGATGTTATTGCTATCATCATAAACATCTAAGTCAGCTATTCCGTTATCTCTGATAAATCGTCGGATATCATGTAATAACTGCCGTGAACTGCTATATGACTTTGCTTGTAGATTAGCTTCGCAGTGCGATGCTGTTAAAGCTAACAGCACAACCAAAAGGGTGGAAATTTGTATCAACCACCGATAGCTCATCGTACTATTTTTCGAGTTTCGTCCTTTTCAACTAATGGGCGAAGATTTTCCGAAAAATCCGTAACAGTTTATATTAAGAGACCGACAAACAAAACTCATAACGCGCATAAAAAACACAATTTATCATTTTTTAGTTAAAAATGTCTTTGTCACTTATATGACCGTAGAAGACTTGTGTGCCGACGTTTTCCGTAATGACTGTCACGAAAGTTTTTGGCATCGGTCATATTAAGAGTAACAGCACCACTACATGATTTCTGTTTGAGTAATTGTGATTCAACGTCAATGTGGGCACACGCCTGTTATAGAATACTAATAACAACAACAACAACAACAACAATAAATTATATTTCAGTATGTGATTGTATGAATGACGATTTTAGACGTTTAATGTAATATCCATGAAGACCGACAAACAGTAGATGCCACAATTGTCTTCAAAGTCTGATGACCCAAAAATCCAATGTCCGTGCGCGGCTATTGAAACAACGTTTTTTATTGATAAAAAAAGCGCTCGGACGATAATAAAAGCATTAATAATAATAATAATAAAAGAGTATCTTGAGTGTAATAACTATGTACGTGCGTTCGCGTGTGGCGGTCACTGAGGCAGTGTGAAGCGCACGTCTATACCAGCCGGTCAGAATGTGTGCCGGCCTTCATGCCGCGTGTATCTTCTAGAGATGTGTAGGTAGAACATGAGCTACCTGGAGCTACTTAAAATAAAACAGCTGCTAGTAGTAGTGGTAATTTTCTAAACGGTAAAGAGTATAAAACTACAGACGTAACTTCACGAATAGTTTTAAAATTAATTTATTTTAATTCAACATACTTTGTAAAATCCCACTTAAATATTCTATACACTATTAAAACAAATGTCCAAATGTTCACATACATGTAATAGAAGTATTTAATGCATACATGTATTGGACAATTTTTATAAATAGTGATAAAAATCTTATATTTTTGAAAGAATTTTCGATGCTTTCTCAAAATTACACTACACGTGCGTAGGGTTTTATCGTTTTAAACGTGTCTAAAACACCAAAAATTTCAACATTTACATTGGTCTCGCGAGACATTATAAAAATTTTAAACTGATTTCTATTGTTTTAAACAGATTTTTTTTAACGGGTTTTTTAACAACCCTGTTTCTGTGTAGAATAATTAACGTGTATATAAAAAATATCATAGTGGCGTATGGGCATTTTTCGGCCATTTCATACAACGAAATTTAACTCTACATAAATAACAAAAAATACTGTCATTAAGTATATGAAATTTGTTTGATTAGGTGTCGCTATATAAACTTTAAGGGCTAATGATAGTGTTTTTGGCTTAATATAGTGGTGACGGGAAGGAGGACCGACTACCTAAGCGATATTTGATGTAACTCAAATGTTTAATTTGAATATTATTTGTAATATTTTGAAACAACTTGATTAAAAAATTAAATCGGTATTACCATGACATAAGGATAATACTGGCCATATTAAAACTATTGAAATGTATAGGTATTTAAATTCAGTGTGATACAATTACATAAATAAATTAATCGTTTTATAGTTTTTATTTAAATATTTTGAAATCCCTTGAAAATAAAGCATTTATATATTGTTCAAAAATTTCCTAAAAAGTTAAGAGGAAAATGTTATAGAAATTTTTATCTAAAATTTAAGTTAAAATTCGTTCATAGTGACCGTGAACAGAAATATGAAAACTTGGTTTTGGTAAGAAAAAATCATTATATGACTACTAGTCATCATGTTTTAATTAAAACATAATGATACCTTAAATGCAATTAGTGTCTTATCCAATGTTTATCTTAAAAAAAATGTGGAGTAACCGGTATTATGATTAATCCTATTATTAGAATTCTCTCAGTTTTTTCTACCCTTTAAACATATATATTTATCTTTAACGTTTATTTTAGGATAATTAGCTCTATATATTTTTTCAAATATTTGGGAGAGGCTGAGTTATTTCAAGCCTCCCACCAGTTTATGTCTATATCTTCAGTGCTTCTTCTTCAACTAGAGTGTATTAAGACAATCTTTCAAAGGGGAGAGAGCTCAATATTTATAGTAACGTAGATATACTAATGTTTTTTTCATAGATATTTTATAAAATATAGGATGTTGAAAATCCATGAGGACACTATGGGAACAACTAGAATAAAATGTTTGAGGGAGTTAATTGTAATTTCATTCATTCTAATAAATATTTTTATAAAACAAGAAACATAATTTTCTAAATGTTTTAAGGACTAAGCCTTCTTAGTTTTACATCTTGATAACATCACCGTGGTTTCTCCCTTTAATACAATAATTATCTTTTCTATCATCGATGTTCTTGATCGAAAATAAAAGAACTAAATTTTTAAATATTACCCTTACTATCAATATATTGTGGTAAACAATATAATGTTATTAGAAAGAGAATATAAGTCCGGTTGGGACTTAATATCTCAATTAACTGTGGAAACATAGTGCTGACTTCCGACTGAGTTTTACACCACATGCATATTATACTGCTTTCGCCTTTCTCAAAAGTAATAATAGTCTGTATACAAATATAATTAATGGCTTTGTATTTCATCGGCAATAAATGTCGATTATTAGAACAATAAATATTAATTGTACAATATTTTAATTATAACTCTATAGTGTTATTTAATAATTTGTAAAATAGTCGAAAGTAAATAGCTTTTTAATCGATCAAAAACAAAGTAATTCGGCAAAAAATCAGGTTCATTATGTACATTAGTGATGACAATATGTGATACTATGTATATGATATTGATTATCATTAACAGATACAAGATAACAAGCAAAATATTACATTACAAAAAAAATATTTCCTAATCGACTTTTGCTTTTTTTAAAAGTACCCCAATGAAGCAAATTTTAATATTCACTGTGTATTCATCATGAATATTAAACAAATAGAATAAATGTCTGTGACATAATTTGTATGAGGGCCACTTATTCGTTATAAATCTAAGTCCGGGTTTGGAAAATATTCAAGAAGCAACGACAAACAAAATGAACTTCTACTATATTCTTATTCCTCGCTTACCAATGGATACTGTGTTAATTTTATATAGAAAAAAATACAGAAATACTTTGAAGTGGGAAATACTTGAATATTGTCACACAAATGAATTTTTTAGGTGATGTATATCCCAAATCCGTACTTAAATTAAGAGTGAAAATTAACGTGTTTAACCGGCTCTTAAATCGATTTTAAGATGTTGTAGATCTTACTGTTTGTACCAAAATAATATTTAAATTTCTTATATTTTTTCATAGTCACCTAAATAATTGAAATGTTCATCATTGTATTGTCCGGCTCTCATTGAGTCAAGGTTATAGTTTACAATCTGACGTATTACTAAGCTGACGTATAATAGTTCTTTTATTAATTACCGATTAAGTAAATACTACTTTCTTTCGATTTCAATCATAGAAAATTTTAAAAATTAAAATGAAAGACTAGTTTGGTGGATAACAGTATATCCGGTTTGGTCAGTTCAGTGTTACAGTATATTGTCGTCTCGCCGTGTCATCAATTTAAATAAGAACATTTACATTATATCGCACGTAGTACACGAATTCCGAATTTAATAACTGTAATTACTTTTATGTCAAATTAGATACGAATCATCCGGATACATTTTAATGTAACTCGATAATTCATATACAATGTGTATGCAATTTGTGTAATTGTACTCATTGCATGTATCTAAATCACATTATATAAAAAATAATTGAAAAAAAAATAAAGAGTAACGTTCAAAACATAATTGAAGTAGATTTTAATAATTGATTAACTGGTTAACAGTACAAACAGGGCCGTATTTAGGGGAGGGCTGCAGCCCAAGGGCCCCCACAAATTTGGTATACATTGGTATCACAAATATGATAATAATTGTTATTTAATAAGTAAAAAAATATATTTCCTTGTTTATGTATAAGGGGCCCCCACATACCTAGTCCGCCCCTGAGTACAAACTAAAAAAAATCAAAATTCTGTATTTATTTCATGAATGAATGAATGTGAAATAAATATAAAACATTGTTTTAAAATGTATATTTTAATTAATAATTAATATTTTTAGTTACGATGCGAAGCTGAGAAGGTATTGGTTTTACTATGATGTTTTTTTTTGTTTCTGTTACCAATTTTTTTCAGCTCTCACTGCATCGATTTCTTTCAACGAAACGTCAAAAGATCAAATATCGTATCTAGTCGAAGACATTACCCTCAAAAATTGAAAAAAATTTCCTCGTTCCCTGTAAATGGCAGAAACCTCCAAAAAAATTACAAATTTAAAAATCGCTAATTTTCGGAAAGTTTTAATATTTTAATTAAAGTTACAAAATGTTAATCTGAATACAACAAAACTAGATTATATATTTTTCACCATTACAAACTGATTAATTTACAGTATAAAAAGGTTCTTCATTTTAAATCTTTTTAATATGAGAAAATTAACTATGCAATTATTTTCAACCTTTCGAAATGATAAAAGTTGTTTTATTATTTAGTTATTAAACTTTATAATTCCGAGAAACGAAACACGATGTAAAAAATTATTTTTTGATCTAACCAGTTTCTCACAATACAATAGTTCTAAATAGAAATTTTTATAATTGTAGAAAAGTTTCATAACTAAATTTTCTAATTTAAAATCTCTTATCCGACATAAATTCCAATCCGACTAAATATTTTGTTAATATAAGTATAAAAGTCATGACAGGTACAAGGGGTACTATAAAATCCATTTCTCTCAAAAATTATTAATTCACCACGGTTCTATAAGAAAAGTGGGGGAAATATCAATTTAGCCCTTCCAAATTTTCATAAATTTACGCCAATGATAGATACAGGTTATCTCCAACAAAAATAAACTATTTCGTCGAAGCAAAAAAAAAAAAAAAACTACATTATGTTATCTTCTATAAAATATTATCAAGTATCTAGAACGGTTGCATTAGGAAAATCATTGAATATAGTGTACTCCATGGTAAAATATTATGTTATAGAGCAGTTGACTTATCAAACAGGAAATTATGATACGGTTTTTTAAAGTCTAATAAATCTTAAATCTTACAAAAATAAATATACTTTTTAATTATTAACTTTATGACCGTTAATTTGCAGGTTATTATTTTAATTAGTTTTATATTATTAATTAATGATATAAATTACTATATTATAACTTAAATTTTATTTATTTGAATACGTAATTATTATTTTTATATTATTGCGTTTACATTTAATAAATATTAGATTTTTTTATTATATCAAGGAGCAATTTACACCATCTATTCTAATAGTTTACACTATTTCTATGTATAGAAATTAACATTGCTGTGCTAGTGCCGGATCAACATATAAGTGGTCGGGGTGCATAGTATTGAGGTTTCTCCCAAAAAAAAACTTTGCTTGTTTCGCTCATTATTATTTTTATCAAATAATTTTCTTAAAATACATTAAAACATATTTTTCATATCCAATGGTCGTTTTATGAAACCAAAGTTTAACATACAAAGCGATATACGTAAAAAATATCATACTTTACACAATACAACTTTTGCTTTGTGCTAAAACTAAAATGAGGCTAATTTTGAAAGACAAAATTAAATCCTAAATACGTAACTTTTTAAACAGTAATAAATATAGTTTCATATGCTATGAAAGTGTGTTTTTTAGTTTTTTTAAACTACATTTTTTTTTAAACAAATAGCTACGGTATGTATGTTTTGGGTTAAAATATTATAGTATGTAATATGACTATAATCATAGGAATCAATCCAAAATCACATCCAAGGAAGGCAGCAGGCGCCCAAATTACCAACTCCCGGCACGTGGAGGTAGTGTCGAAAAATGATGATACGGACTCGTATGAGGCTCCGTAAGCGGAATGAATTCACTTTATATCTCTTAATGAGAATAAAGCGTGTTAATATATAAATTTTAATAGTAATTAGTATATATATAATATATACATATATAGAAAAGCGACTTAGGTATGAAAATTTATCATATACAGTTAATAATAATCTTCGCATAATATCGCGGCACTTTCGCTGGCGTCGGCGACGCGGTGTCCGACATGATCTTCGGACGTCGAAAAGTTAGCAGCGTTGATGGCGACGGTAATCGGGTGCTGATGGATTCGAACGTGCGGCACGTCCGGAGCCGGTGGCGTACATCATCGATGTTGTCACTTTAACAACGAGAAGAATGCTCGTATCATTTACCGATCGTCGTCGGCCGTGCGGCACTTGCTGAACTTTGCACCGTGGCGTATGGCACGCAGTATTGGTCAGTCAAACAAAAATACTCATAGTATGGCGACGGCTAATAAAGGTGGCAAGAGTCACAATAAAATTTGTTTATATATATATATAATATTGATGACACGCACGCGTGTACGGGTACGAAAACCAAAAATAAAATTACACAGGAATAGTGTTGCTGGGGAGTGGTGAGCGGGGTGGGGTGAATGCGTTACGAAAGTCTAGTCTCAAGGTCATAGACGACGGGATACGTGGAGAGTTACAAACATACAGGTGTAATTAATATAAACGTGTTAAAAATGTGAGACCTATAAACCTAAAAATCTTGAAGACCCGGTACAATATACACTACTACCAACACCATGTCCACGTAGGAGTCTACCAGTCGTAAGTTACGCATCGAAGTTAAAAAATCATTGGAAGTAATAACTTAAATGGTTTAGTCTTTAAATTTGTTTGCAATCGAAATCTTTGAAACCGAAAAATATTTTTACTAAAATCGACAATGTAAAAGATATGGTAATACATAGGCTTCAAGGGAGGAAGCTGGGCAATAGTTTCTCTAGAAAAACTAATAAGCGTTCAACGAGTCAGTTAAAAAGAAAAATAGATTATAGATTAAATGATTACTTTTTAATAACTTTAATTAAGGCTATTATTAGTTCTAAGTTTATAATTAAAATTAAACTACTTATACTTAAAAATTATAAATCCTTATGGAAGTTTTTGTAAAAAATTGTAATATTTTTTCTAAAGAGTATGATTTGGTCCAATTTGATTATAAACTTATATTTTAGCAACATGTTATATTCCAGAAATATCCTTTGAACACAATTTATTTTTAAATAAATAATACTCATTTTAATTTTAAGTAAATATTTACAATTTTAATTTATAGCATTCTAGAGCTCTAGGCGTCATGAATTCTTTCACTTCTTCATCTGTTATTTTGCTTCTATTATCTTGATGTTCAAGTACAATTTTAGTAACTTCATCAATTAGTATTTTTTTCAGTTCTCCAGTTAACATTTCTCCAGAAGAATAGGCCTGTAGGATTTAATTATTTTTTATTTAAAACAATATAAATAAATTAAAAAAAAATTTTAAATAATTTTTTTTTTATTTTGTTTTCAAAGCATAATTATAACACTGACTATGTAAAATGAGATGATTTAACATATGTTACAAGGGTCAATGAATAGAGAGCGAGCAAGACTGAACGACTTTAAGGATTATCTATTTAGATTTAGATTTTTTTTTTGTACTTTGATATAGTCAGATATTAAATAGTTAATATTCAGATATTAAAAATAAAATTAACTTACTTACACATTTTATTATTAATTCACTAATAATTAAGTAGTTTATTAAATGTATTAAATTATGCAATAATTCATTAGTAAAATGAAAATATTTATTTACAATTGGCTAATAATTTGATACAGGCTAGGTAAATAAATTTTGTTGTAATAGGTACAAGTTTAATAAAGTTAAAAAAATATATTTAAAATTACTTTTTCAATTCTTTTTAATTCTTCGTCGTTTTCTAAGAAATGCTTCAAATATTGGTATGATATATCTATACTGCAATCGCCTCCTTTTTCTCTATGCTCTTCAATAGTTACTTGACCTCCAGAAAATGCATATTTATTTACCTGAAAAAATAAATAAAATAAAAATACTGTATTTCTTAAACAGTGTCAAATATTCTTTAAAGTAAAACTTCTTACAGAGGGTCCAAAAAAAAAATATATATATTGTGCATCACAAACTTTTCTATTGTTTTATTAGACATATGTTCAAAATTTTATTGTTCGATGAATGTATAAGTTCAATAAACGTATACATTCCACGATTGTTTCCAATTTATTGTAATAATATAAATAAATATTTTGAATCTTAAATTTGTACAACTTTATTTTTAATTCATTTAATATATTAATTAACTGCTTTTTTTATTTTAAATAATTCACCAAAATTATATAAATAATTTAATCACACAAATTAAAAAAAAATAAATTCATAACTGCATAAATTTTAAATTAAATTAGTTGATGCACTATAAACAACAATACTTTAATTTTCAAAAAAATGTGCTACATATATTATATACTATAATTAAAAAAATCTATTTAATTAAATTTTTTATTTCTAATTACATAAATTAAAGTGAATAAGTAAACATAATTAATATAAATATAAAAATAAATTAATATAATTAAATGATAATATAAAATAGAATGTATTACTTATATTATTCCTCATACATAAAATTAATTTAGATAATATTTATTATATATATATAAATAATTTATTCTTATTTATTTTTATCTATAATGAACTAAGTAAATTTTCAATAATAAATAATAATTAAATAAAATTTATTATAATATGATTTATATAAATAAATACCGAACATTTTTATTAATAAATAATAATAGTAAATATTAAATTATATTTTATATTATAATTTAGTAATGTATTTTCGAAAATTAAAGTAATGTTATTTAAAATGTATTAAATAATTTTATTGTACATAAAAAATCCAAAAAAGGCACAATAAATGTAATATTTGGACGTGCAACCAAAACCTTACATTAGTTATTTCAGTTATCATAAGCATTATGTCTCGTGACCACGGAATAAAATAATTAATAATAATGAATTAAATTTTTAGATGTATCTTTTTTATTCCAATAAAAACCTAATATTCTATCAGTTGAATGATTCTGAAAGAAATTTCACTTCATACGAGCATACTCAAAACACATACTGATGTTTTTTTAATGTACACAATTCTAATTTTAAATAATGTTAATAAGTTATTAATAATTAGCAATACTATATTTAACTAAACAAAGATTTTTTTACAAACTTTATTTTTTATTTGTTTTGTAGAATCAGTTAAGTAAATAGCAGAGTTTAGATCACTGGCAGACATTTTAGTATCAGCTCCTTGTAATGATGGCAAAAAAGATGAATGTATCAGAGCAGGCTTATGACTGCCAAGCTTAGGAGCAACATCTCTAGTCATCCGAAAATAAGGATCCTATAATAAAAATAATTATTTTTTTAAAAATTGTGATTGAGTGATTCAAATAATTTTAAAAATGAAAGTAAAATATGTTCAGCTAAATTTTCAATTATAATTTTTACATCAAATTTTGATCTTAAAATATTTTATTTTTTATTTAGTAAGTTATTAGAAAATGTAAGACAGCAATATCATTAAGGTTTACTTTATTTAGAAATAGTAATTTAAGATTTATGGCATTGATGATTACAAAAAAAAAAATCAAGATTTTATTTGATCTATTATTCTTATAGGTACAGTCATGTCATAATTACATTAGAATTCAAGTATATTTTAATAATTTATTAATTATTTGATATTACAAATACATGTCTACTTATGAAAATGTTAGAATTCATAATTGTTTGTACAAAGCACCAAAAAGTCGTTTTAATACATGTATTCTTTGAATTAGCCATTAAAAAAAAAAAAAAAGAGTAGTTAAGTAACATAAGATTTTATACAGTGACACAAGTTCGAGGTAAAGGGTTTTATGTTTACCTAGTTACATTTTATACATCTTATCGACACTATTTAATCCAAGTTTTATATAACTTAAATGTAATCAAGATAAGAAACTCTACTAATAGGTTTAACTAATAATAAAACAATATAATTTATAAACTTATCTTTGAGATTCTTGTTAAAAAATGATTTATACCTGATCTATAGCACAAGGCACTAAACAAGGAACATTATTATTCCCAAATATGAATGGGAATGTTGATGATAAACATGGTGCTGCTTGAACAGCAGGAAAAGCAATTTTTCCAATTACATCACTGTCACCAAATCCAAAAATTCCTTTGACTTGATTATAAGTAACACTTTTTTGAATCCTAATCACATTGGTGTAGAATGAAGGACACTCACTGAAAATTTCTTAAATTAATTAGACATTTTTTAAATACTTTTTAGTAGAAGGGGTTTTTTAAAGTAAATATTACCCCATGAACTGAAAGTCGGAAAATATAAAAGTATTTTTTTTATTAAATCCACATGCTATAATATCTTTAGCATTTTCTAATGCTAAACGTCTTGTTTCTTCTACTGACAAATCTTTCCAAAGAAACTTTTCATCATCAGTTAGCTGAATTACAAGAGGAACATCAAAAACATCTTGTAACCACCTAAGAAAAAATTTAATCAGCTTAAATAAAAATTAATAATAATTTTGTAAATACAAAGTTAAGAGTACCAAGTATAACTGAAAAAAACTTCACTCACTTGGTTAATATAAATGGAAGTAAGTGCCCAATATGTAATGAGCCAGAGGATGGTCCTCGACCTGTGTATAAGTAAAATGGCTTTCCTTGTTCGTACAAATTTAAAATATTATGAAGATCTCTGTGTGAAAAAAATATGCCTCTTCTTAGAAAGTGGTGCACAGGTTTTTTTGCAAGAGCTTCTAGACGAAGTATTAAATCATCATTAATTTTGCTACTACCAAACCTGTCTAAAAATAAAAATTTATATTATAGATAAATTTTTATTTATGTACTCCACTCATGCTAGTGGTTAAGTTTAAATTGATTTATTTTTCTATTAGGATATAACTCAGTAAAATAAAATTTAAATAGCATTTTTCATATGACATACAAAATATTGTGCACGCTTATGATGAATGTGCAGACAATTTTTTTTATATAACTACCCACTCAAATGTCTAATAAGAACCTTTAATTCAATAACATATACATTGAAATAAAAAAAATTGTAATAACAATAATATGGGTAAGTTATTATGTAATATTATTTAAAGAAATTTATAAAGGAAATATCTGATATACATAAGAACACTATTAATGTTTATATTTAGGAAAGTAATTTTTAGATAGATTCTTTTAATTACTTTGAATTCTGTGTAGTGCATAATTTATTTTTTAATTTAATAACTGAGTGCATTAATCTAATTAAAGGAGAGTTGGAGGCATAATTTGTGAAATGAAATTTAATATAAAAAGTGTTTGAAGATCTATTGTAACTCTGAGGAGCAAAAAATAATAAATAGAGAGAAAGTCAGGACAAAAAATAGAGCCATTTTCAGCTTTATATCATTCCATTTCCCTAACTTAATATGATACAGACAGTGGTAGCTCTCTTTCACATATTAAGGAGTCAAAGACGGTTCTTGCTAATGATGGACAGAGTGGGTATTATGGCCGGCTTGCATAATTTTACACCACCAATGAGAAAATATTAAGATAAATCTTATTAGTACCTCAGGGGTCGAACCTGGAACCCTATTCACCAGAACAAAAATTTCTACCCACTAGGCTGACCCCAACAATATAGACATTTAATAAATTAAAAATAAAATAATTCCATGTAATATGTAATGGCTCAATTTAAAAAGAAGAAAGGATCAAATTATATGGAGCATATGGTGTACGTTGTATATTGTAATTATAAGCCACAAACCTTAAAAACTAATTTTGAACGTTATCTAACATTACTTTTTCGCCTTGAAGATGAAGATTTCACAAGATAGTGTTATACTCTAAAATACCCCTTACACGTGAAAAATAAATAGCTTTAACAGTGTCTATATTAGAAAAATCTTCACAATTTTTAGTTAAAAAGACTAGTATTTGTAGTGATTAGTTTTTAATATATAATAGATGTGAGTTGAATGACAATTTAGAATCAAAAATTATTCCAGTCTTTTACTTTAACTTCTTTTTGTAGTGAAGAACCTTTTATATTATACTGGTAATTTATTAGCTAATTTGAGTGAGTAAATAATTACATTTGTACATTTATTGTATTTTATAAAAGATTATTAAATGAGCACCAAAAAAATCAAATTATTTTTGTTGTCTTGAAAACTATTAGGATCAGTGATATTTTCATTTATTTTTCTTAAAATCATCTTCAATTAAAAGGAATGTTATGTTTTAAACTATTAATGTAAATAAGAAAAAGAATAGGAATACGATGGGATCCTTGAGGACACCAGACAAAACTATAAAAGAATGTGAATAAAAATTATTGGATTGACAAACTGAGTATGATTAGCTAAAATTACATAATTAGCTAAAATGTATAAAATGTAATTTTATACATCTTGTCTACACTATTTAATCTCAAACAGAAAAGTAAGAAATTAATCATGATTAGTATTGAGTAGTTTTGATTGATATCTGGCTGTGATTAAAATCACGTCAAATACAAAGAAAGTTATTCATTCTCATAGAAATTAAGTTTTTAGATAGTTTTTCTCTTTTCATCTTAAAAAACATTCTGGTTGCATTAATTTGAAATAGGTTTAAAGAAGTCAAGTTTTTTTTACAACATAAAAATTTAAATATTTTAGCAAATGATTGAATTTTTTAAAAAAAATTATTTCATTAGCAAAGTAAAAATTTAGAGCAATGTTAGTAAAAATAAATTAAGTTTTAAAAAATGTATTTTAATATAAGAAAAAAGGGAAAATGTTCAAATTATGATGTTGTTAGCCTGAAAAAGATACTATTTTGATGTTTCATTTAGCAAAATTGAACCAATAGAAGTTAATGAATTTAGTAAGTCAACAAAGTAAGTCCAATACCTTCTTAGCTACATAAAAAATCTAAAAAATTGAACATAAAATATAATATTAATGAAATTACTAGTGTTATATTATAGAGTTTACGTGAATTATGCAATAATGTTAAAACACAAAATTTCTCAGTTTTGGCTTCGATGCAAAGCTGAGAAGTATTAATTTTTTTTAAACCTTTTATTAAAACACAATGTATTTTAATAAAATATGAAAAATTCATATAGTTAGTTGAAACAAAGGAGATATTTAAGTTGATTCTGCACACGTTGGGGATTAATTAGAATAAATAATCGTTTGCAATAAAAATACACACTCATATTCTTAACGAGGTCATATAATATAAAATTATTAAGTATTCTTACTAATAAGTTTGTCATAATCAATGCCCTTTTTGGATTTGCTGCATACGTTCCAAGGGTCTACAAAATCGTCTTCCTCAACAGAATTTTTTGTTTCTGATGTCATGATGACAAATTTACAATAACTAAAACCGGCTTATTATCAGACTTTAAAATACCAAGTTGAAATTCGGACACGGTTACACATAACGTCATCTAAAGATGAAAAAATCTTCGTTATATCACAGAATAAAAATATGGTTATATGTTAATATATATAATGATAAAATGGATAGATAAAAATTCAACTAAATCGGTATAGGTACATATAATAAACCATATCTTATACTGTTGAAGCCGACCAGCGACCAATCGCTTGGTAGTATAGATAAGAATATTATCTATTTCGTAGGAGTATCATGGAATTTGTGTTGTCAACAAATTATATTTGATAATAGCTAATTTGTTAGCAATGTTTACAATAGGACTTAAAAATTCAACCAATTTAGGTCAATAGGACAATAGGACCAATTCAATTTTAAATCCAGCTTTATCAGTTTGTATCGCATAAATAGAACACATAACAATATAATTTAGTAGTTATACAAGCTATGCCATTTATAATCTTCAAGATGTTTTCTAAACTTAAATATCATTTGAAATAATAACTATATTATTTGTAATTAAAAGTTTAAAAATTACACAGTGAACTTTAGAAGTACTTTGCGTAAGTTCTCATTAAACGTTTTAAATACTTGCTTATTTTAACAACTACCGTTTACTGAATTTTTGGCAAGTATTCCTAATATATTGCATAGTTCATCAAACATAAAATCAGTGAAGACAGAAAACACTAAATTATCTAATCGAATATGAGTAGCAACAGAATTAACTAATGGGGATTTTGTACTGATGAAGGTATAAAATAATTTTGTGGTCTAAAAAAATTTAGCATCAATATATAAAAAAAAACATAAATTACATGATAATGATTAAAGTAATAATTCAATTTATGTTAAATAATAAATATAACTGATGAGGAAAATTTTAATAATTACTTAACAAATGATAAATGTACTACTGACTGTTGATGTATGTGATAATTAATTAACTGCTTGCTATGGAAGAAATTCAAGAGTTAATGTCAAACATTTTTGGTCGTTTTTTATTTTTATTTAAAAGATTTATATTTGCAAATGTTTTATGATTATTTAGTTCACTTTATGTTAAATTTATTGTATTTTAATTTATAGAAAATATATAAATAAATAATTTCATATAAGTTGTTTGTTAATTTATTTAACTTTAATAAGTTATAATATAAAAATTGAACACCATTTATGTTATAATGATAATGAAAGATAAAGTTTTAAGTTAACTTTAAAGTTTTTTAGTATCTTTAATTGTTGCTTGATTTGAAATAGAGCAGCTATGTCATTATTAATCAATATATAGTGTATCTGGACTTATACTGAAGAAGGGTGGATGGGATAGGTGTTTTATTATATTTATATTACTAATTATACTTATTTAAATATATTATATATTTTTCAAAGAATATTTATTATTAATTAATTTAGGTTACAAATGTGAAAAGATTTGTTATCTCTTATTATTAACTTAGAAGAAAGGATAATAATTTATCATTTATTCTTGAAGAATATAAATTATTATAAAAAGAAGATGGGAAAAGAAAATATTCAGAAGTAAAACTAAAAACTCAATTTTTAAGTTATTCATTTATATCAATAATCCTGACAGCAATAATATCTCAGTTATTTTTTTAAAATGTCTCTGTTTCTGAGGTTCAACTTTCAAATAACCTCAAAATTTCTTGTACCATTTTCAAAATATTTTTAAAAAATATATAAAAAGTAATTGTTGAGACATATTGTAAAAACAAATATCTCTAAAAAAAAGTAATATTTCAAATGTTTTTTTTGTATAAATATTATATGAAACTTAATAAATTTAATATTTTTAATGAATCAAAATTATATCAAATTTTATAAAATTCTTATGAAATGGTTAAAAAAAATTTAGTGGCTCTTTCAAAAATAATATCAGTTGAAAACAACTATAAGCAATAACCTATGCTTGAGCAATAGTAACTTTATTATGATTTAACTGGGGTTATAATGTTGGGTTTAGTTTTGGAGGAACTTAATCCCCATTAAAACGAAAAATATTTCTACATATATTATTATTAAATATATACGTACATTACGTATATTTCAACAAAAAATGTGCACAAACTTGGGTTCTTTTAAAATGTATCAATCCAAATCCTAGTTATATGAAATATGTCCAATCTAATTATTCGTTTTAAGTATTGAAATAAAATGAATAAATAGTTTCTAATTTTTGATTAATCTTTAATAATGTTTTCATCTGAGTATTTGTGCTTTATGTTATATCTTATATTACTATGTATACATTTATTATGCACATTTGTGCAAAATTAATTATGTGAAATAAATTTTTTATATGGAGTAACTTTTATATATTTATTCAAATACTTATTTATCGCCTTATTAAAAAATAATAATTTAAATATTAATAGAATTAGTAGTCATTGAATCAAAACTAGGAACCAAAATAATTTTCAATTTTTGGTAATTTTTCTTATATCTAGTAAATTAGTTCATCAACATCGAATTTATTTTTAGTACATGTTAAAAAAAAAGGTAGCACAGTGGGGACGTAGCTTAGTTGGAACAAGTAGAGATAATATCTGACAGTGATAAAAATCACTATCATAAGAAACACTTCGATGAAAATCTGTTGATGAATGATTAAAAAAGCAAATCAACTCTTATTTTTTGTTTTACTTCGACTGCCATTTGCATATAGAAAATAGGTCGTCAGTTTTTTTTTTTTTTTTACTTCTATATATAAAATAAGTTTTATTTTAATATATATTTAAAAGAAGTAGATTTTTAAAATTTATGTTGAAAAAGTTCTGTTTTTTACACAAATTTTCAAGTTTTGAAAGAATTTTTTCTTTCAAAGTTAGATTCATTTAATTTTTATAAAAATTGGTGGATTCATTACTATAGCAACCCTTATATTATATTTTAAAATAAATAATGAATAAAATGAAATTATAACACAAAAATAGCGTTTTTTTAACTACGGCAGCCGTTTGAATGCAGAAGGTAAAGTGTCGGGACAAATTTTTTTTTTTTAATTTATAATATNAATTTTTTGTAAAAAAGCTACCATTTTGAAACCCTTCCTGTGGGCTGTTAAAGGGTCAAATGTTCACAAAAATATATAAAATGATAGGTAAATATTTAAGGTATCTATAAAAAAAAAAATTATTGATTNTTTTCAAAAATTAAGTTGAAAAAGTTAGTTTTTGTAAAAAAGTTGCTATTTTAAATGCCCCCCAGTGAGCAGGTTAAGTGTTAGATTTTCAAAAAAATGATATCAAATGAAAGGAAAATATCTAAGGTTTTAGTATAAAAAAAATTATGTTGATTTGTTGATTTTTGAAAAAGTTATGAAAGTTTTAAGAAAAAAAAAAAAAAAATGACAATATTTACTGATTTTTAAATTTATAATTTTTTTGGAGATTTCTCCCATTTGTGGGAAACGAGGGAAAATTTTTTAATTTTTAAGGGTAATGTCTTCAACTAAATACGATTTATGATCTTTTGACGTATTGTTGAAAGAAATCGGTCCTGTGAGAGCTGATAAAAAGTGGCAACAGACATAAAAAAAAAAAACACATTATGGTAAAATTAATAGCTTCTCAGCTTCGCATCGAAGCTAAAATGATTACAGAAATCAAAAATATGAAGAAACCACTTTTGAAAACTTAATTTAACGTTTACAATTTCTACAATTTTTAATTTTATAAATCTTTAAACAAATTTTATACGGGTCAACTAACTTACTAGATATGTTTAAAATATTTGAAAAATCAAAATTATTTCGGTTCCTAGTTTTATTTTGAATATTATGTAGTGTTACTTCAGAAACTATTCGTTAGAAACCATAGTAATATCATTTTATTGACGTCACATTATGTTAACTATTATCCATAGCAACGAGTCATATTAGATATGGACTTGTAATATGAGTATGTCTACAGATTTTTCTCTTAATCATAAGTTTAGAAAAAATGGACAAATTGAGCAAACCTCAAATTATTATTCATAGAGAGAAATCTATTAATTTTCAATTAAAAGACTGTCAATGGATCTACAATTCAGCGAAGTTTATAGCAATAGGTGGAAAACCAAATATGAAAGGTGTTTTAAACATTTATACGCTAGATGAAGATGATATACAATGTGTACAAGAGTATGAAAAGTCAGTTTCAATTGAATGTGCAACATTTCAATCAAGTCCTATTGATAGAAGACATTTAGCTATTGGAAATTATGAAGGTAGTTTAGAAATTGTGGATTTGGAATATTCTACCAAATCAATATTTACAGCTAAAGCCCATCAAGGGTTGATATATTCCATTGATGGTATCGGAGGTTTGGGGATAGGATGTGGCGCACCCGAATTGGTTACAGGTCTGTTATATTGATAAGCATTTTAGTACTTAAGAAGCGGAAGGTTCTACGTTCACTTATAAATTTCACTTTTTGGTGTATTCCATAACAATATAAGACGCACAGCAAAATTTCATATGCATGTCAAATTTTTTTTTTTTGCATAATATACATTTACAGAGGTATCGATAAGAAAAAACAGATATTTTGGCCGTCTTGTGGGAAAAATGTTTCTTTTTTGCTTCTCATGGAAAGTTACAATATTAAATAAGATCCTTCTGTAGCTTGGGTATATATTTAATGTTTTTGAAAATAAAAGCAACTTAATTTTAGGCGGAAAAGATGGTTCAGTGAAAATTTGGGATCCTAGAGAAAAGTTACCAGTGGCTAAAATGGAATCTGCCGAAGGTACTACAAAAAGGGATTGTTGGACTGTAGTGTTTGGTAATGCATATAATTCAGAAGAACGAATAGTTTGTGCAGGGTATGACAATGGAGATATTAAAATGTTGGACTTAAGAGCGATGGCTTTACGTTGGGAAACCAATGTATCTAGTGGTGTTTGTAGTTTAGAATTTGATAGAAGAGATATTAAAATGAATAAACTTGTAGCTACAACAATAGAGTCATCATTTTATGTATTTGATATCAAGGTCCAACATCCTGTTAAAGGATTCGGTTATTTACAAAATAACTCTCACAAACATACAATATGGACTGTACGACATTTACCTCAAAAACGAGAAATATTTGCTACGACAGGTGGAAATGGAACAGTTTACTTATGGAAATATTTATACCCCGATCAAAGATGTAAAAAAGATTCTGATGGAGATTTAATTACAAATCCTGGCAAGTTACAATTGATTCAAAATCAAATAGTATCTACGCAACCTATTAATAACTTTCGATGGTGTCCAGGTAAATTAGGTCTTGCACTATGTACATCATTTGATCAAAATATTAGAATTTTAATCACTACTAAACTCAATTTATATTGATTATATTTATTTTGAAATATTGAGTTATAGGTACCTAATTAATTATGTGTCTTTTTATAGATACTTTTTTTATTGTAATATAGAAATTATTTTTTGATTTATTTCGATTCATAAATTAGGATTACATTTTTATTGTTATATTAGTCAAAATATTGTTAAAAAAAATTTTTTTTTTGCTTGCATTCTTTGTGAATGCAAATTGTATACGTAATACAGTTAATGCTTGTTTTAAATGAGGTTTGTACTTTTTTAGATTTTAATTATCATTTTATTTTGAAATGATATATATATATTAATCTAATTAAAATCATTTTAATTATGTGTAGGCATTTTAATAAAATATCTACACAGATTATCTAAAATTGCATTAATTTCTATGATAATATTGTACTTCATATAATTTGTAATTGTTATATAACTATTTTATTGGGATTTCAATTAAAAAAAAACTGAGCACAATGGGGACGTGGCATAGCTGAGTCCAGTATACTTGAAATCTTACAGTGATTAAAACCACTATCATAAAAAACGCTTCGATGCAAATCTGTAGATTGTGTTTAATTTTAAAAATGGTGGATTATTCCAAAAGCTACATGATCTTTTATTTCCTTATATATATTCTGATTACAAGTTTTATGATTTACAAGTGTAATATATGAATAAATAAATATATATAATATAAATATAAATAGTACTTATCTTAAAAAAAATATAATGTTCCATACATTTTTTTAAAACTTATAGCATTGTAAAGTTAAAATATAAAAAAGAATTTTTTTACGAAAATCCTGTTTTTTTTTTATTATCTTTAATGTTTGTTTTCACCATAAAAACGAAAGAAAATCCGACATTTTTTTTTCATATTAAAATATCTTACATAAACTTTAGTTTAAGATATATTTAAAAGTGCCAGTACTTACGGATCACATCAAAAAGTTAAAAAGTTCTACTTACTATATGCATTTTTAAGATTTGAACTCCCCTGTATAAAGGGAATAGTCCGATTTAAAAAACAATAATGTAGAATGAAAGAGGTATGTAAATAGTATTTCTTGTGAAAAATTGATTTGTGAAAATGTATTGATCCATACATTTTTCAAAAAGTTATAGAAATGTAAAATATAGAATCGAGAATTTTAAAACAAAATTAGCATACGGTGATAGTCATTTTCACTGTGAAGACAAAATACAGACCAAATTTTTTTTTTCCATAATAAAGTTACTAATTTAATATACTTAAAGCTTTAATTTAAGATATATATATAAAAATGTCAGTATTACCGGAACACATTCAAAAATTAAGTTGAAAAAGTTGTCATTTTGAATAACTCTTGTGACCAGGTTAAGGGTTAAATTTATGAAAAAAATATACTAAATGAAAGGTAATGATATTATGCATCTATATAAAAAAAATTATATTGATATGTTTATTTTTGAAAAAGTTATGGCACTTTTAAGTAAAAAAAATTGAAAAAATTTCGAAAATTAGCGATTTTAAAATTTGTAATTTTTTTGTAGGTTTCTCCCATTTACGGGGAATGAGAGGAATATTTTCGATTTTTGAGGGTAATGTCTTCGACTAGATACAATTTGTGATTTTTTGACGTATCGTTGAAAGAAATCGGTTCGGTGAGAGCTGAGAAAAAGTGGTAACAGACAAAAAAAAAAAAACACATCATAGTAAAATTAATACCTTCACAGCATTGAATCGAAGCTAAAATGGGGTCCAACATTCCCCAAAATAGTGGAAACCGGTATAGATTTTATTAACTGTACATTAGTATTTGGGTTTAAATAATTGATATTAAAAATTATTCAATAATTTTTGTTGTATAACTTTGATGAAAATAATAAAAAAAGATCTCACGATTGTAATGAATTTTTATAAATTAAGAATTTAAAATATTGTTAAAATAAATCTAAACGACCGACATTGTGTTTTTGCCTTATTTGTCTTAGCATCTAACTATTTTTCATGCTAATTATTACGTAAAACAATTTACTTCACATTCATTTCCGTTAAATGATATCTTCTTATCAAAATGTCCTGTTTTTTATACTTTATTTATAAGTGCATACTCCTAATACAATAGTAAGCACATAACATTTTTTTGTGTAATAAAAAAACAATATTAAGTAGGACAATGTTTGAAAATCAAATTTTACAATTTTAATTTAATTTTTTTGATTTTTTTTTTTTTGAAAAGCTTAGCCTCTAAACCCCAGTCTCTGTGTATATTTTTTATGCGGACAATAAAAAAAGAAATACTCTTTTTCCATTTAAAATATTTGGTCACTCTATTATTGAAAAACGGTTTTTCAAAATATGTAAAATCGTTTAAATCAAAGTTTTTTCATTGTTTCAAATTTTATAGATTATTAAAATATATGGTATTACAGCGATAGATTTCTTAGAACTTCTGTTACTTTACCGCGATGAGGACTAAAAGTGGCGGCAAATGGCGTTGGTAATAGATGTTGACTTTTACCATAACAAATTATTAACGACCAGTGGTTGGAAATGCCGCTGGGTTCGCCCCTGGCGCATTTCTACCACACTTGCTAACGTTTTTTGGCAAAACTGTTTAGCTTTACCATCGTGGTCGCTTCGTTATGACGGTCTCGCGTTACACATTGTTTTGTTTGCCGGCAATCTAACCGACGTAATTAGTTACAATTCAATTGTCGTTTTTATTGAAATAATTTTATTAATACATCAATTAATATATTTTTTATATGACTAGAAGCGGGAATACACTATTATTGAGGTTCGGTTCTAACGATAATTTTATTTAACATAAAGGAAATTTAACGTTAAAACTGTGAATTAAGTTGTTATATCGAAGTGATGTTATGTAGAAATTGTAGTCATACATTTCTTGGAAAATTCAGAAAAATGTCGTGGAATACGTCATAAATGGGGTCGAGTGTTTTTAAAGGTAAGAATATTATTATATAGAATATAGAAAAGACTGTATACTTAATTTGACTGCGTTTTCGTTGTTCGTTGACGAGTATTTATAGTTAATTGACATTATAATTATTGAAATGTATCACGAGAGAATAATGGGTTTGCAGTAAACTGTGTACTGAATGTACTGCAGTAATATTTTAAAATTGCTTAAATTTTAACTTTTAAGAATCCCTCTTTTTTTGCCAAAGCTTAACATCCCGTTTAATAAGTGAGGATAATTTGTAAATACAAGGATTATCATACATAACGATGTATATAGCCAAAATAATTATGTTTAACAATAATAATAATAATGCATATTTATGTTTACATATTTACTTACTATTATTTTTGTAACGTATAAATATATAAACAATAAACATTATGATAATATGGGTATTTTTTATTTGCATGATAAGAAATATTAAAATTTTTCTGTCTTTGGTATTGTAATGAAATAAGTTTGATTAATTAATCTAACATTTACATGCTTGTCATTTGTAAAACATAATTAGAATACAGTACAAATGACATTCGCATCTTTATTTACAGCAAACATAAAATTTTCATATTATAAATTTCCTAGAAAGTTATATTTACATTTTATAATATCAAGACTTAAATAATAATAATAATAATAATAATATCAAGACATAAATGCGTCGTAAATAAATTTTTCTGGTGTACTGAACTACTGAAAAACATGGAATTTTTTTTAAGGTGTAATTTTTGTTTGTTTTTTAGTGGTATTCAATGTATGTATTACTTTATAAAACTAATATGTTGTAGAGATATACTTAAGTTTAATTCGCTTTTTTTATTATGTGATTATATATACATATATCTAAAATTTGTATTTCTAATAGAAATAAAAATCTAAAATTTATTTCTACATAAATCTATAAAAATCAAATATTTTTGTGTAAAATACTATTTACATTTTGACGATCCATTTATGATCATACTTGTATTTCTTGACCATATACTTTTCTACCAATTACAAATGTATCTAAATATTAAACATATAGAGTGATCAAAAAGGTCAATTGTTACGAACGATGAGAACAATTGACCCGTTTCATTATTTTTTAAATATTCTATATATTTTATATTTA